CCCACACTATGCCATGTGCATATTGAGTGACCAAATTCGACATTTTTCATAGAATATACAGCAAAGGACTTCTTTTTTTTTGAATGTACCCACTTGACCTTTGTCAGTTTAAGGTTTTTCGGGTTTATTCGAACGCAGGCTTGTAGAGCATGAAAAGTTCAGGGAACGAATTGGGAAATCTTCAGAAAGCTATTACCGTTATGGAGTTATGGGCTTTTTATTATTGTTTGTATTTGCCGTTTTTGAGTGTTTTGCGTAGTTTTTTGATGTTTTATTATCGTTTCTTGTATTGTTTTTCTCGTTTAGGTTTTTAGTGTCGGTGTGGTATTGTTCCTACTTGTTTCCAATATGTTTCCGTTAGATATTTGATCGTTGGTATGGCTGAGTTCCTCTAGGTTTCGCAATGATTTTGGTTGTGTTTTCAGCGGTTTTTCGGAGTTTTGTTCCATTTGGTGTTGAATTTGGATTGGAATCGAACTGGGCTGGTGAGTATGGCAATGTGAGATCTTTTTTGTGCTTGTTTCATTGTGGCTGCTGTTGAATATGGGTTGTGTATTTTGTTGGACTGGAGCTCATGGCCGTATTGACGGTGTTAGTTTTGCTTAATGGTATATTTTTTACTTGCATTCATTTGTCTCTTTTGGTTTTGTTTTCTTGATTGATTTCACTTATGACGCCTCAATTAGCCTGTTGCATAACTATTTCCGTAAGATCTAGCCCCAGGACTAATTATGATTGTTACATTGGAAAGTTTTACTCTAACTTTTATGATGTTTGTTCGATTATTGAAAGTCGATTGTAATTTTATGATATTGTTTATGAGTTACTTGATGGTTTGTCACAAGATTCTAGATGAACAACGCTACTGTTTATTGACTTCCACAGTCTTTGTTTTTGCCCGACCGCGTCATTTGTCCGCTGTGGTTTACGGTGACTGTTCAATATGTAGTATCTCAGTTTTTCATAGTGTAATTAAATGATTCTAAAGGTTCATTTTTTCTTTGTTTGTTTACCAGTTCCATTCCTTATTGGTTCCTGTTATATAGATGCCAATTGTTCATCGGTTCAGTCAGGTAGTGCGCCATGAGAAAGACAAAATTTCAACACTTCCAAGTAGTAGAGAAGTGAAATGAGACATACACATTATACTGTTGATGGTTGAGAATTATCTCTTTATCATTTCGGTCTTTATTACAATTACACCAAGCTGTGAGAAATAACTGTAAGGCAAACAAGTGTCTGAAGAATGGTGAACATCACTGGAATGTATGCAATGAATAATCAAGTCGTCTGGATACTGTTTAATTATGATAATGAATTTTCCTAATATCCTGGATTGAGAGAATAATTTTAACAAAAAGTTCATTTATTAAAAAAAAAAATGAAAATAACGCTGTTCAAATCAGCTGAGGTGCTCCCTCAGGAAAGCAAAACAAAACAGGAAAAAAAGCTGTTCATACCAGCTGAGGTATAGCCTCAGGAAAAGAAAACAAAAAGAGAAGGGGAGAACATGAACAAAAAAATTATTGTTTATTTTTATTTTCTTTGTTTGATTGAGTAGAACGGGGAGGATCAGACGGTTTCGTGGCATTGGGGGTGACGATGATTGTTGTTGTTGTGATGGTTGTGATGGTTGATGTTGCGGTTTTGGTTGTTTTGGTTGTTGTTGTTGTTGAGGTTGTGTTGGTGGAGGAAGGAGCAGGAGAAGTAGCCAGAATTTGGCTCGTTTGCATGGGGACGGGACTTTAAATACAAAAATAAAATATAGCTTATTCAACTTTATTAAATAATACATACCCAGTAGATGTAACTCCCGTAGGGAGACAGTTAAAGGCACGAAGAGCAAAAATCACTCTTTCGCATTGTGCCTGTTGTTGTTGTTGTCGTTGTTGTCGTTGTCGTCTCTCTTCTTCGAGAAGACGACGACGATTAATTTGATTACGACGACCTATATATTAAATTCAAATGATATGTTCTTGTTAACAATAAAATACTTACGAGAAATATGTATTGGATCCATGGCACGGGTTGAGAAAGACGAGTGAGAGATAAGGACGACGAGAAGAAATGATAGGAATAGTAGCAAGACATCGGTATTTATACTAATCTATCATTTCTATCTCTCAAATTGACCGTTTTCCATAGTATAACGGTCAATTTGAGAGATTTCTAGACAGAAAACCGTTGACCGACAGAAAGGAACGAAAAAGAAATCGTTAGTCCGCCGTTTACATTCAACCAATCGATAACGGATTACAATAGAGGGCGTTCAATTTGCGATTGACATTGAACTTAAAATCATTTATTATCAATAATATGAATGAAAATCCATCTTGTTTGACAGAAGGATCAGCACATAAAAACGTACACAAATGCGCAGCCGTATCATCAAAAATATTTTCCAAAACAACTATTATTAGGGACAATTAATTGGGTCTTTAATCTCAGAAGAGAATCTTCATCTTCTTCTTCATGCCGACGAATCTCATCATACGTTTGGATTTCTTTAGTGTCATAATAATTCAATAACTATTATTGCAACCGTAAAATACTTTGTATACATCCATATATTTTCTGCGTAGTTAGTAACCAAAGGCTCTGACCTGTCGAGATTCCATCGTAACTGAAAGTAGTAGTTGTCTCACCTTGCATTATTTCTTTTCATTGTCTTGAATTCCCTAATTCATAGAGACAAAAAAACTTATGAATTATCAATCAGATTTTTCTATTAACAATTTGGAATAGGTGGTTGTCGAGTTAAAGGTGTTTCCATTGAAATAGAACTGTTTTCTTTTAAGTCAGTTCACATCCACCGATGAATGAATCCAATAGTGAATCGTAATCTAAAAAAAAGAACTGCTACAACGAACATCATATGTTGAAAAATCTCGAGAAATACACTGAGAGACAAGTCTGTCACACTAGATCACAACATATGTCAAATCAACAAAATCGATCTGATATCCATTACATAATGAACGTTTTCTTTTCCATTTTAAATTGTTTTCGTATTCTAAAATACATATTTCAAATAAAAATACACTAGCAAGATCACCCTATAAAAAGGAAACACTAAAAAATCCATTTCATTTATTCTAGATAAACATCAATCACCTAACTCAAACATTCGTCTGTTAAAACATAACGAAATCTGGGTCACGATATGCTTGATGAACTCAGCACCAAAAAGATATCTATTGATATTCCATTAGGCTTATTTTAATCTCTTGGATATACTGTATAGATTATTATATTTTGTTTAAGATTTCATTTATTTGAAATCATTCGAACAAGTATAGAAGAGTTAATGCCATCCGACGAGTCCCTTAAGCAAGGACGAAATCTGGATCATGGTATGCCCGACGAAAAAATCCAAGTTCTAGTAGAATAGTATGCATTATCTCGAATTGATTTCAATTGTCTTGAAAATTAAAGTATTTCTCGTTATTAGGTTTTGATTTTTAACTTCTGCTGGTTTTTATTGAAGAGTTTTTAACTTTTACGTAATTATCGGTTGAGAACATACCTGATGGGCCCCCTGAGAAAGGGCGAAAACGTCCATGTCAATCTCTACATCTTACAATATTTATTTCTGTATTTATCATACAATATAAACTTGTTCAAGTTATTCAACAGAAGTCTAGTTACTTAGACGAACCCTAGATTATAATAGTTATTCTCAGTCTAACTTCCATATCTTTAATCTGATTGGTTGTTGCCAATGACTACTACTCATTCACCGATTTGTTTCTCAGTAATCATTTTCAATATATATACCTTCAACCCTTACACATAGATGTGTGATATTCGTATCACATGGAATTCTACTGCAACCGTTTGCAGCATAAACCAGACGATGACACTTAAAGTCAAGTGAAAACTCGCTCTGGTACTCTGTATCACCACTGTCGGTGAATTTTTTTAAATATTTTCAAGTCTAATGCCATGAAACATTACGTCTTACAGTGTGCACAACTAAACCGTCTGATGGAATCCTTAAGCAAGGTCAAAACCCGTCCTAAGCATAGCTTGACTTAGCTAATAATTTCAATTTTATACACATCTTATATTCTTGAATTTACTGCGATATTTAACGTTTCTTTCTTTCTTTCTTTCTTTCTTTCTTTCTATCTCCGACGTTAGAAAATTAGAAAATGTTCGTGATCATTCAAGAAAACTCACACTACTGCGAAATCTTTCTATGATTACTCTCGAGTAACACTATAGAATTAACTTTTTTTCGAATTAATTCTTCGGAATTTCTATCGTTATGGGTGCTATTTGAAAAGTCTCGTTGCTGAGATGAAATATCGATATCATGGTAGCCATAACACACTACTGCCAAAAAATTCTATTCTATTATAAATAGGGTTTATATTTTTATATATAAAATTTTGTTTATAACAATGAATTAAATTTTATCTATGTAGTTGTTGGAAAATTTTTTTAAAAAAATTTTTCTTTGAACTTCAATAGGTTAAGCCAACTGAAGAGTCCCTTAACCAAGGAAGAAGCTAGTCTTGGCTGCTGTTCACACATCTGTATATGGACACTATCATTATATATTCGAGAATTTTTGATTTTTTGCCAAAAGATTTTTAAATATACAACATTATAGTTTAATCTTGTGATTTCTTAAAAAAATATTTATAATTTTATATTTATTTTAATTTTATCATACAGATTATTTGCCAACTGACGAGTCCCTTAAACAAGGACGAAATCGGGATCATGATATGCTTGACGAATTCAAATTGTATTCGAAATAAATTTATCGAAATAAGACTAATTTTAGTATTTCATTTAAATAAACTAAATTAACTAACGTTTCACTAGAATGAATATTCAAATTATATATATAAACTAGAAATATTCTTTATTTCCAAAACATTTCTATTAAAAAATGAAATAGTTGACTAGTTCAAATTTAGACAGCTATTCGATTGACCCAATTTTATATTTAATATGAAAATGTATGAATGAAAAAGAAATAGCTGACTAAAATAAATCGAGTCAGCAAATAGATTGACTCGACTTCATATATAATATGAAAACGAAGAAAAGAGAACGATTTAGCTTAGTCGATGTTACCGACTTCGAACATATCAGATATATATGATGGAAAATAAGGAAAGAAAACGAAATAGCTTAGTCTATGTCTATGACTTCGAACATTTCAGATGTATATAATGGGAAAGAGAACGAGTTAGCTTACTCGATGTCTATGACTTCGAACATTTCAGATATATATAATGGAAACGAAGAAAAGAAAACGAAATAGCTTAGTCGATGTCTATGACTTCGAACATTTCAGATGTATATAATGGGAAAGAGAACGATTTAGCTTAGTCGATGTCTATGACTTCGAACATTTCACATATATATAATGGGAAAGAGAACGATTTAGCTTAGTCGATGTCTATGACTTCGAACATTTCAGATATATATAATGGGAAAGAGAACGAAATGGCTTAGTCGATGTCGATGCCTTCGAACATTTCAGATATATATAATGGAAAAGAGAACGATTTAGCTTAGTATATGTCTATGACTTCGAACATTTCGTATATATACAATGGAAAAGAAGGAAAGAGAATCATTTAGCTGTCTACATGTGCTTGACTTCGAACATTTCGTATATATGTATAATGAACAGGAAAGAAAGAAAGTGATTTAGCTTAGTCCATATATTTAGCCAGCAAATAGATTGACTCATTTCTCTCTATATATGAAACAAACTCTACGTATGCCAGTCCGTTATAGAATTTTTGTACAGATTCGGTTGACATAAGAATGGTCTAGCTTATCGATGCTATATGTAAGACAGTAGTGTTGACTGTCTAAGTGATGAAATGAATATTTTTATGGTTGATTGGTAAAAAAGGATGATTTCGATGTAGTATTCGATAATTCATATGAATTCATAAGTGAAATGATGTTGAAGGTCTTAATTACTTGCCCTATGTAATTATACTTAATGAAGTAGGATGACGTCATAGATAGACATGCTGAAAGGAAAGAGAATGAAATTTGTTGGGTATATATCGAACACGTGGTGATATATATATATATATATATATGTAAGATGGAAAGGAAAGGAAAGAGAACGAAATGGCCTAGTATGGGTCCAGTGATGGAAATCTTCATCTATGAATGTGATATGATATTCGAATGTCATGTATATGATTGTTATAGGGTTCATAGTAAAGGAAAAGTCAGTTGCTTTATGCAACACATATCTTGATAGATTGTGTACATTGCTAGTGTTTGAAGTGACACTTCATCACTAGAAAATTATTAAAGGGTGCAGAATGGTTGACAACCATTCAAACATAAACATTTCTGATTCTTGGATTTGAACTGTATATGTTCGCATCTTTTCCACAATCTATATATATATATCATTCTGAGAAGAAAACGTTTCCTTTATTGAATCTTTTATCGTTCATAAAACATTATTTTTTGTGTGTACGAACTTGATTTCGAATATTTCCTAATAAAAAGATGAAGTCTGAGGACATTGTCCTAGGATATAGAAGAAGTCTGAATGCAAGGGGCAATAATACCATACATTACAACGATGGTTTTCTTCGAAACATCACTTCTTTTTGCTGAAAGGTTTTAGATAGGCTGTCCTAACTGAATCCTAAAGTTGTTGTATGGTGGTCGATTTTGAAATGTCATTTGTTTTGATCACGAGATCGGTCGTGGCTGCTCTGGTATATTACTTTCTTTTTTTTTGTAAGTGAATATTGTCTAAAGCCACCTGATGAGGCTCTTGAGCAAGGCCGAAACCAAT